GACGGAAACGTTCAGGGGCGGAGGACGTCATGTCAAGTATCACAACACATGCATTATAGTAATCAAATTACAAACAACCATTGCATTAATAAGTATAAGTTTTACATATGTGTTTAAACATTACATATTCAAACATCAGAGTAGATATGGTAAAAGACAAAAGACACAACACGGTACTAGGCTGTCTTCTCAAAAGCTCCGGGAGTGTACCTGTCTACTGGATTCCTGTAGTGAGTGATTCGAATGAAAGATCAATATAGGATGCTAAGAATGCCAAGTGAAGTCTTGAGCACAAACGGATCTTATTGGAAGCCTTTAAGGTGTTCACGGCCCAAGAACAAGTGTGTGTTCTTGGTGTTCTTGGTGAAGAAGATGGTGATTTGAAGATATTTTTTAAGAGAAAGGAAGGTTTCCCTTGATGATACTTGAGAGAGTTTGAGAGTTCTTGGTTGGAAGATGTGAGAAACCAAGAAAAATGTAGGAAATCTATATGTGTAGTGAGGGGTTCACGGCCTAACATGGGTTCACGGCCATGAACCTAGTTTGTGGCTGTGAACACCCCTTGTTGACGTTATTGGCTCGAATGTATTCCATAGATCCATTACTCACGCTTCTTAGTATCTAATCCTGAGTGTACAAGGATTAAAAACTCATAGAATAACCCTTAGCAAGGCTAAAAGGTAACAAATACAATTCTGACTTTTGATTGAATTGGTTGACTTTACAAGATAGAAATTTTGGGTTGTCACAGGTTAGACTCAAACGAGAGCTGCGAAATAGGGCTAAACCTAACCTTCTGAAATTATTTAGTCCTCGTAATATGTAACTTAACATATTTGTTTACTAGATAATTAAAGATAACTAGGACTCCTAAAAGCATAAAGCAAACAACATTCAGGCATTGAGTAACCAAAACCAAGCATATCCTAATCAGGCCATCATATCACTGACTAATCAGTACTATCATATAACTCAATAAGCAGATACAGTAGGCATATAAGGCATCTTCCTAGATCCTTAGCCCTAATCTAGCATGCAGTTATCATAATCATACAATAGGCATATAAGGCATCCTTCCTAGATCCTTAGCCCTAATCTAGCATGCAGTTCTCATAATCATATCATATATCATAACAAACATGTAGAGGTATCTTGGGGAAAACTTACTTGAGCTCGGCTGATTGCACACATCACACACCTTGTTCTTTCTCAAAACCCTTAATTTTAATTTTGAATTTTTTTTTCTTTGTAAAAATTTCCAAACCCTCGATTTGAGTCCAGACACCCCCGAAGGTGTGTCCGAATCCCTCAAACCAAGGCTCTGATACCAACTTGCAACATCCCAAAATCCAAGACCAAAAATTTCATTTTTGATTTAATAATTCATAAAACAGATTATTGAAAACAACATTAAGTTATCTCATATCATAAAATCCCATAAGTCATATGTCTCAAAACAAGTCATAAGATAATAATGTCAGAGTACAAATCCCAAGAACATCATAATGCGGAAAATCATGGTGTGATGCGCTGCTATCATACTAGCTCCTTTCCCTTCGAAGAAGGACCTGAAACAAAAAATGAAAACTGTAAGCACAAAGCTTAGTGAGTTCCCCCATCATACCGCATACCATACAATAAACATATTATCTAACATGTCCGGGTACTGGCCTACCCCTTCGGTCTCTTTCAACTGGTAACTTGCCTAGCATATCAGGGTGCTAGCCCACCCCTTCAGTCCTTTCGACCGGTACCTTGCCTAGCATATCAGGGTGCTGGCCTACCCCTTCAGTCCTTTCGACCGGTACCGGGGACTATTTCACCCCTTACTTCTACCATATAATATCCTAGTACATAAACACATAAGTCACATACTGCCTAGCATATCAGGGTGCTGGCCTACCCCTTCGGTCCTTTCGACCGGTACTGGGGCCTATCCTACCCCTCCTACCACTATCACATAATATCATAACATACTAGCACATAAAGCATAACAGATAGTGGCATACCAGATAATTATCACAAAGACAATCATATCTACTATAACACTTACTAGTGGGCCGACATTGGTGCCTTCGAACCACTTCTACTGGAAGGTAACTCACTTCAAATGTCATGAAGAAGCTGAACTGTCCTCGGCTCTGAAATCAACTCCACTCAATCTCCTACACACAAAAGATCTTCTTTAATTACCCTTTCATACCCATAACCCCTTACGGTTCAACTTTGGTCAAAGTTAAAGTCACAGTCAACACCTTGGTCAAAGTCAGCCTTCTGGTCAAAGTCAACATCCTGATTTGACTCAACTCGCCGAGTTGGTCCATCAACTCGTCGACTTCCATGAATCATAAACCTTTAAATCGCGATCCAACTCGTCAAGTTTTTTCATGAACTCGTCGAGTTCCTCCCTATAATAGAGTCGGGACTTCACAACTAAGCTCGTTGAGTTCTTCAGTCTTCAAAACCCAAAACCATGGCCAACTCACTGAGTCATCTCCTAGACTCGCCGAGTTTGCTTAATAACAGAAAGGGTTGGGGGACTACGATCCAACTCGCCGAGTTGGATGAACAACTCGTCGAGTTCTTATTTTCTAATTCCATTCAGTCACTTCCAATCGAGTTCAATGCTTCTAAACCATAGATATGGTCCCCTAGGACTAAGTTACCACGTAAAGTTGCTAACTTTACGTCCATGCATGGTGTCATGAATCTAGAAACACCAAAACTAAGCTATATAAGATATCTAGGGATTGGGGAAGGGCCAAGGCTTGATAAAGTTGGAAACTTTAAGCCTCATAAGCTCATGAGTTCCTAGATCTGAAGTCATAACTTCATGATATACTCAAATCCCGAAAATGACTTCAATATGGCCCAAAAGTGACAACATACTACCCTAAATGAAGATCTAAGTAATAGAAGGCCAAGGTATCAACGTTATACCTCAAATGAGTCAGAAATGCAGCTCAAACTCCGGATCTACTAGCTTCCTCTTGAATCCTCAAGCTTCTCCTTCCTTCACAAGCTTCAAAATCACAAAGAATGCACAAAATGGCTCAAAACTCTCCAAAAGTGGATTAGGGTTTCTTGGTTAGGGTTTGGGATGATGGATGCTATAAATGAGGCCAGCCTTTGGAGGTTAAGGTGTTTAAATAGGGTGAAAACCCCTTAAAATTAGGGTTTCATGCTGCCAGGACTACTCGTCGAGTAGAGGATCTCAACTCGTCGAGTAGACGTCATAACCCGCGTCCATATCCATCTTTACTCGACGAGTTTGGGGCCTCCAACTCGTCGAGTTCTTGTACAAAAATGAATAACTTATAACTGTAAATACATACCAGGAACTGGGTGTTACAAATCTCACCCACTTATTTTAGACTTCATCCTCGAAGTCTGTTGCGCCTGGGAATAGCTCGGGGTAGTGCTCCCTTATCTCATCCTTCGGCTCCCATCTCCACTCTGAGCCCTTGCGATGCTGCCACTGCACTTTCACCAACTCTACCCTCTTGTTCCTCAGATCCTTCATTTTCCTGTTGAGGATAGCTACTGGTCGCTCAATGTAGTTCAGGCTGTCATCCACTTGAATATCCTCTAAGGGCACCACTACGGAGTAATCTACCAAGCACTTCCGTAGCTGGGAGACATGAAAGGTGCTATGGATCTGACTAAGCTCGGCTGGCAGATCTAGTCGGTATGCAACCTTTCCCACCCGGGCTATAACCCTGAACGGTCCGATGTATCTGGGGCCCAACTTGCCCCGCTTCCTGAACCGGATGACACCTTTCCAAGGTGACACCTTCACGAGGACCATATCTCCTACCTAAAACTCCAGGTCTGATCGTCGTCTGTCAGCGTAACTCTTCTGCCGACTCTGGGCCGTCTGGAGTCTACTCCGGACCTGCTGGATCCTCTCCGTCGTCTTGAGTATCACTTCGGTACTCCCCATGACCCTCTGTCCAACCTCACCCCAGCATATCGGGTTTTGTACTTCCTCACATAAAGCATCTCAAAGGGAGGACGGTCAATGCTGGCGTGATAGTTGTTATTATAGGAAAACTCTACCAATGGAAGGTTGGTATCCCAGCTACCACCTAAGTCTAAGACACACGCCCGCAACATATCCTCCAAAGTCTGGATGGTCCGCTCACTCTGACCATCCATCTGTGGGTGAAAAGATGTGCTAAAATGCAGATGAGTACCCAACTCGTCATGAAATTTCTTCCAGAATCTGGAAGTGAACCGTACGTCTCGATCAGAAATCACGGAAATTGGCACTCTGTGTCGGGCTACTACCTTTATGATGTAGATGTCAGCCAGCTTCTCGGCCGAAATGCTCTCCTGGATCAGGATGAAATGGGCACTCTTGGTCAACCGATCCACGATGACCCAAATCGAATCCACTCCCCGTGCGGTCTTGGGAAGCTTCGTGATGAAATCCATAGTAATATCCTCCTATTTCCACACAGGGATATCCAACGGTTTCGTCTTGCCGTGAGGTCTCTGGTGCTTGGCCTTGAACTTCCTGCAGGTCAGGCACCTCTCAATATACCAGGCTACATCCCGTTTCATGCAGGGCCACCAGTAATCAGGGCGAAGATCTCTATACATCTTCATCGCCTCAAGATGGATGGAAAATTTGGACTTGTGCGCCTCCTCCATCAGGATCTGGCGCACACCGCCTGCGCACGGAACCCACACTCTGCGATGAAGTGTCAACAGCCTGCGACTATCATAGTTGAAGGAGGAAATCTGGCCCACGATACGCTCACTCTTCCGGTGTTCCTCCTTCGTAGCTTCGGCTATCATAGTTGAAGGAGGAATATGCCAACATTTTTTCAAAGCTCCAAATGCTCGTTCAACATCAGTTCTCCCCTCTATTGAGCTATCTTAAACTTCAACCTTTTACGATCGTTTGGACAAGACAATGACTTCACAAAACAAGCACGCTCCGGATAGATCCCATCCATAAGATAATACCCCTTTCTGTACGATGTTCCATCTACTTAAAAGGATGAGTTGGGTGCAGTCCCGTTATAAATGTCGTCAAGTATTAGAGACATGTTAAGAACATTAATGTCATTGGGGGAGCCAGCTGAGCCAAAGACTGCATGCCATATCCACATATCCTGTGAGGCCATCGCTTCAAGTATAACGTTTGGATAACCATGATCGCCACAGGTGTATTGCCCTTTATGGGGATTCGGACAACAACCCCATGCCCAGTGGATGCAATCTAGGCTTCCTAACATTCCAGGAAAGTCGTGCACATTTGAGTGATGAGCATACGATTGTTGAATGTCGCTACAAGTAGGTTTGTGCAGATATCGCAGATATCCTTTAAACGTTGTGTCATCCACAAAGTAATCTTGCATGAGTCGTTCATTAGCCGCCTCACGAAATCTTTGTATGTATCTTCTCTTCCTCCATAGTGCATTCTCCACATTTTCTTGTTGTAGTTGATTGATCATTTGTTCTGCCTCCTGAACGACCTCTATGGTTGTTTCAAGCAATGCATCAAATATGCCCGATGAAGATGATGAAGACGACATTTTGAGAGAATGTATATGAGTTGTAAATTGATTTTGATGGGTTAAAATGGTTAAGGGTTGTAGTATTTATAGGAGTTTTTTTTAAGAAAAAAAATGGAAGTAGCCGGTGCCAACCACCCCATTGGTCCACTCAACATAGTCAAACTCGACATTTACTCACCGAGATACCGAGCCGAGCTGGGCAAGCCGAGGGGTCGGCCCGGTGTGTGCCAAACTCGTCGAGATTCTTGCCAAGCCCGTACCGTCCAACCTTATTGAATTCCCTCTTTTTTTTCTTATTTAATACCCACTTATGGGAAACTATTTGTTTTAAAGAAATATTATTGGAGGGGAAGCTCTACACGAGCGAGGTATCATCATAGATTCAACACGTTGTGGGGTCTGCATTGGAGGGGAGGACTGATGGGTTTTGAGCATAACTACATCCTATGTGATCATGCGACCGAAAAAGCGCCGCCAACTCAGCACCATGTAGGTATTTTACCATTCCACAACCAACCCTTTAGGTTGTGGAAATGGTGTTCATCGGTAGGTTGGTAGTGAAGGGGCAAAAAGAAGGAGAAAAAGAGAGAAAATGTGAGGGACCAGATTCATAACCAATCAAATGCATCGTCTTCATCCGTCTCCATGACCACTCCATAGCCAAGCCACCTGACACCGGGACGGTGTTCATGCGTGACTTGACTGTCCATGTCAGCATCACGCGTCTTCTTCTACCCCCACTATGGATAGCCTTAACTCCTGGCTGAGCGAGTGGTCCTAAGATGAAAAAACATTCCACAGCCATCTGTTACAGGCTAGTTTGGTATTTATGAAGATATAGGAATGATTGGATTTTAAAGCAGGTGTTCATGAATCCTACTATCGGGACAAAATATATTAAATCTATGGTTGCTTAAATGTAGGAGTAATGGAGGCAAATGTAAATGGAATGAGTGGATGTCCTCTCCTTTCACTTCTCTATAATTTTCTTGTAACATATGTTTTATTTTGCTTGGTCCCTAACATGCTTCTTGCTAGTTGTGGGTTCCATTTAATATATTTGTCGTTTTCAAAAAAAAAAATTAAAGAAATATTATTAACAACAATTTCTTCATTCATGATCATCACTTTGCATGATATTTGCATTAAAAAAATCAAATCCATATTACGTCAATTCTAAAGAAAAAAAATCTGAATGTGTCTTCAATCCAATTTTATGATTATAAAGAGTAAATTCTTTGATTATAAAGAATATATCATTTCATGTTATAAAACCAAATTCTTCTTGATTTACGTTTATTCTCAGTTCTTTTTTTTTTTGTGCAAGTGGGCAAGTGGCCTCACATCAATTCATTGATAATAACCGGTAAATTCTCAAACTAATCTTTTGATTATAAAGTTTTTTTTTTATATTAAAAGAATTTGGAGTTCTAGATGCATATTAACAAGGTTATATATTGAAATTACAATTGATTATAATCCACATCCCCAAACTACCGAAGGTGCATATTCATCTGTTTAGACTACAAAAAAAATTCTTAGTGATTTGTGTTTTTTGATCCATAAAAAATTATTTACTTTATTTTTTTTTCTTCTCCTTCTATTACGATTCTTCTTCTCAATCTCTTACTTATTTTGAGGAATTGAGTTTCATATACCATCCTACTTTCGTTCTGTATGTTATATGTTTCGTTAAGAAGGAAATACCATACTTCTGTTGTTCAGTTATAAAGAAAAAAGCATCTCTGTCATTTTTTCCTTAAACAAATAATGTCAGTTTTTTTACATAACATCAAATATCATGTTGCATTTGTAATTTATGTAAAAATTGACAAATGATAATTTATGTCATGTTGTTCATGCCACGTGGACCTTTTTGAAAATGTTTCACCAATAGGACCATTTGTGTAAAAAAATGTCATAGTGACCATTTCTATCAAAGAGTTTTATAACAGAAAGCTTAAGTTTTTTATTTTTTAAGTATCTATACATTGTTTTTATCATTTATAAATGAAAAAAAGAATCTATACTTTCATTTTTTTAATCATTTGTTTTTGTTTTTTCATAAATTATAAAGAAAATGACATAATTGTCCTTTTTGCTCATAAATAAATAATCGCAGTTTTGTTTTTGTTTTTTTTTTGTTAGAAGGAGATACCATACAACAGAAGTATGTTTTTTTTTTGTTATCATTTGTTATTGTTTTTCATAACTTATACAGAAAATAGCTTATTTGACTTTTTTTCCTTAAAGAACTAATGTCGGTTTCTGTTGTAACAAATTTTTAAAAACTCTTTTCACATACTTTTTAGATGAAAAAAGTTAAACTTTCTATTAAAATTGTATTCAATGTAATCAACATTACAACAAAATAGAAATGTGACTTACATGTATGACTACAACCGGGAAGTTTACATTCTCTATTTTGTCAATATTCTGTATAAAATACAAGATTGAAAAGGATTAATAATGTTACTATCAATTGAAGAACGGTGGTGTGATTTTGTCCTTGCGGGTGAGTACCTACGTATTATAAGAAGAGAAGAAATAAAGGGCTTTTTCTAATTTAACATTTTGGGGAGAAGAAAACAAGTACAAAAACTAAAAATAAACAAGACTGATTCACTTTTTTTTATTCATTTTGGTTCATTTTTTTATTCATTTTGGTTTTAACATTAAGAATTTTTTTTATTTCTTTGTTACATTTAATCAAAACAGACATTTTCGTCTTAGCTCTTGATAATCAAGTTGTCAAAATCCTATACGTCCTCTTTATTTGCTTTTGAACTTAATTTAAGTAGCTTTATGATGCTATATCATATTAATAATGTTACTATCATATCGTTTCAAAAAAATATGTATATTAAGTAATTATATGAACTTTTATATAACTTTTCTAAAAAACATTAAATATGATAATGTTTAATACAAATTCATTAGTTTTATATTGAATACAAAGATTTATATGGGTTATTTTTTTTCAAATATGTTTATTTATGTTTTTTTCAAATATGTTTATTTATGTTGATAAATGGTTATATGTTTATTATTATTTTATTAAACCCATTATGCATTTGTAATTTCAACCAATCATTATATCATTATGAAATTACTGACATAACATATATAATTATTAGCTATTAAATTTTTTATTATCATTTCTCAATAATTAAGTTATAATTTAATTTAAATTATTTTAAATTTCGTACCCATGGTGTCCACATGTTATAACCTAGTATTAAGTATTGAGATCCATTATATATTGGGAAGTTAAAATTTGAGATTTATTAATAAAAAAATCACAAAACATATCATTTGAATAATAGATCAAATAGAAACCGACTAAAATTAAAAACCGACACAACTGTATTATGTATATAATATTAAAGAACTTTTATTTATAACATACTAGTTATAACATGTGGAAAGCAGGAACGAGAAAGGAAAAAGAAAATTACAAATAAATCATAAGGTAACGATTAACCAATGATAAGAAAACATTTATTAATTTATAATAGAGAAATTTTATAAGGTTGATGTGTTACAAATTATTTTGGATTTTTTATTATCCAAACATAACTTTCTGATTTTTCTCTTCTCTTTAGCGTTAGTATAATCCGTTAGTATGATTACATGACTACATCTTGATAAATAAATAAAACATATTACATATATAAAATAAAGTAAGAAATTAATGTATTGGTTAAAATGAATATTATGTGCAGTAGATATATATTGAAATGATGATGGGGTATCCATGTTCTTGTTTGGTAAATAATGACCAATAATAAAATTAAGTTTAAAATAATCATAATAATTTGAAAATAAGGGTAACTAACGGTTGGTAAGTCGCATTAATACACCAAATTTGAATTATAATCAAATAGTAGATACATGAATACGTTATTTAAAGGCATATATACGTTAACATATGATAAAATTTATATGTAATTCATATATAATTTTGATGATTAGTTTAAAAATCCATAAAATATAAAAAATATGATGAATAAAATTAAATTATATTAAAATAGAAAACAACCTTAAAATTTTAAACTTAATAATTTTTGTAAGTAATGATATTGACGACATTTGTGGTTTTAGGTAGAATACACGATTATTTTAACAATGACGAATGTCGTACATAAAACATAATTCATATATAAGTATAATAATGAATAAATTGTAAACTTATAAAAAAATGATTGGCAAAAAATTTAAAATTAAACAAATATTTTAAAATACAATTAAGTAAATATGACATAACAATTTTAAGATATACAATACTATTTAATTTATATTTTTTTCGTACTTGTTCAGCGATCGAAATTACGTAAATATATTAATTATCAATAAATAAAAAAAATTTAAAAATGTATAAATTATTTTTATGTTTATGTTAGAACAATAAATAAATATTGATTAATTATGTTACTTAATCATGTGATCTATATAATAATATTAATAATAAATAATAATTTATATGGTTAGCATTAAGATGATTATTTTAGTTGCGATTATATTAACAAATAAATATAAAAATATTGATTTGGCTGAAATTTGTATTTAATTTCAAAAAAAAAAAAAAAAACCTTTTATGTCCTAAATAACCCACCCACCAACTTACCCTTCATCCCCACCTGGCCACCTCCTTTACGTCTTTACCTATATCAGTCGAATATTACATCCCCTAATTTTTTGCCCTAGTGATCGACGTTATACACCAGCGTCCACCTTTGCTCCTTCTAAATTTCTCAAATCAACTGTTATGCCCATTTCGAATATACGTCCAGAGAAAAAATCTCAATTGAATACAAAAGTACATGGATTATAAGCTAAGGTTGATCAGTAATAACATATGTCGACCGAAGCAATGGAGTATTTGGATATCACGACAGCAAGATCGAAGGTATAACACAATAAATTGTTTCCGATTCTTCGTTATTTTAACACATCATAAATAGGTAGATATAAAAACTAACCTGTTAAACTTGGCTTTGAATTCTTGTAGTTTTGGT